TTTTAAAGATCTGTTTTAAAGATTTAAATTAAAAAAAAGATTAGACTTTAGATAAAAATCGTGACTCAACTGTTGTATCTCAGCATCCTTTATATTCTTTTGGGATCTTCCCCACTGTATGAAATAGCTTAGTGAAAACATATTGCATGGTCTCATTTTGTCTTTTTAAAAGTTATATTTGATATGTTGCAGTGTCTTTTGTGGCATTTATCTTGTCCTTAAAATTTGTACGTTCATAAGTGTTTAAATCATATTCTGGCTCTCTCTTTTCTTGATGCTGCAGTTGCAAACGTACTATGGCAGGAGGAAGGTACTGAAGGAAGTTTTTGTCTTGTAGCTATGTACTTGTAAAACTATTGTTATTAGCGTTTTCTATATCCAAACTTCTAAACAAAATACTGTCAATAAATAGTGATCTTGGCACATATATAAGAACAAGTGCAACTACTAGTTGTTAAATAAAACATTCCAAGGACTATATTTAATGTTATCAGGAGTACAATTTATTATTCACCTAGGTCAAATTCACAGAATTACAGAAGCTTTATGGTACAAAACAGGGCTACTTGGCCCATTGTGTCTGCACCAGCTCTTAATGAGCATCATTACCCGATGTCACTCTCTTGCTTTTCCCCATACCCATGAACGTTATTTTTATTCAAATAATTATCCAATGCCTTTTTGAATACCTCAGTTCAACATACTAGACTGTCCTGATGAATGGTCCCGACCCGAAACGTCGACTTTCCTGCTCCTCTGATGCTGCCTGACTTGCTGTGTTCCTCCAGCTCCACACTGTAACACTCTGACTTCCAACACCTGTAGTTCTTGCTATCTCCTTATAACTGAAGTTCCTCATTTCTGGATCCATTCTTGTAAGCTGTTTCTGTATTCTCTCCAATGCATTCACATCCCTCCAAAGCTGCATACAATACTCCAGCCAAGGTTTAACAAGTGTGTTATACATGTTCAACATTACCTCTTTGCTCTTTGCTCTATACCTTTAAGGAATTTGATAATGAGATCCAGGCTGGATCAGCACATGACACACACCAGGGATTCAAGATCTCAGTCAAACACAATGAAAATCTCCTTCGCAAAGAAATGTATGGTCAGGATGATCAAACTAGTTATTTCTGGCTTTATTTTCAAAAGATATTGTGCTTATATTTTAAATTGTGGGTTAACTGGTCTGTATTAGATTTTTACTCTATTATAAAGCTAAAGCCACTGTATGCTTACTTACTGCTCTCTCTATCTGTCCTGCCACATCCAATGATCTGTGCACATTAACACCCAGGTCCCTCCACTCCTGTACCGCTTCTTAGAATTGTACTGCCTATTTTATATTGTCTTTCTGCTAAAGTGCATCACCTCACACTTCTTTGCATTGAAGCTCATCTACCACCTACTCACCAACTCCACCAACTCATCTGTGCCCTTCTGGAGTTCTGTGTTGTCCCCCTCACAGTTTACAACTTTTCCAAGTTTTGTGTCATCTGCAAAGTACATTCTACATGCTTCAAATATTGTTTGCTTGCTGCATTATTTTTTTAAAAGCATTAATTGGAAAGATTTTTGCAAGTTTACAGCAGGTTAGCCAACTGTGTTGCTAAGGAGGAATATGCTTACATGACAAAATATTTGTATAAGCAGAAATGGTGGCTGGGTGAAAATTAACAGGTAAGCTGCACTGGAAAGCCTGCTTATACGTAGAGTGGCTAAGAATCCTGGCCTAGATGCAAGCATCCCAGGTTGTTAGGGAAATGAGGCTGCGGTTAATGAAAGGGCTTGCTGTAGTCTTCCAAACTTTGGAGGGTGGCACCAGAGGATTACAAAATGTTAGGACATTCCTAGTAGTATAGCATGCTTAGTTAAGATCAGTGATGAGTAGGTTTTAGAAACAGATATCATGAAAATAATGAAAATTTCAGGATTTTATTTCAGCAAAAGTGAAGGAACAGTGATATAGTTCCAAGTCAGAATAATGAGTGGCTTTGAGGGAAACGTAGGTGGCATTACTCCCAAGTATCTGGTCCCTCATCCTTCTGGGTTGGTTAAGATAGGTTTAGATGAGGTAGCCAAAGAAATAAATGTTAACATTAACTAGCTAATTGAACAAGAGCCAGGAGATATAGATTCAACTTCTTTCCACAGGAATTGTAGGTGAGGAATTTGAGAAAGAACCTTTCTTTGCATTGAATCTCTTTGAGGTTGGTGGAAGCAGAGACAATCAATAACTTCATAAGGAAAATGTATGGGTATTTGGGAGAAATAAGCTTGCAAAGCTGTACAGAGAGAGCAGGAAAAGAGTCTGATTGAACTTCTCCACATAGAGATTCCACCACCCCCACCCCAATCCAATGGGCCAGATGGCCATCTTCTGCACGATAATGGCTAGATTGTCAAACCCTGCTGGGGTCAGGTACAAAGATGGGCTTGTTCATCTTTACAGGGGCAGCAGAGCAATCAACAGTGGACTTGGATAGCTGTTTAGGCTCTTTAAAGGCCTATTGAGCGCAATTAATTGAGGGAGCCAGAAAATCTTCAGTTTCTTGCAGGAGCTGGGTGCCAGTTTTGGTGTCTGAACATGGCTGTGGTAGCAGTTCAAGGTACCAGTTATCCAGATAGGACTAGAGATGCTCCTTGCTTGCCTGGAAGGAAAGAGCAACCTTAAGCCATCCTCTATATAGATTACTGACCCTTCAATCTCCAAACCCTATGATAGACTGACTACTCAAAGTATTCCTTAGTTAAAGATTTAAATGTGTTAGAGTGAGGGCACCTTCATGTTGATGCATCTGTCTGTGATTTACCTTTCATTCCACATGCTGTTCCTCTCAAACTCAAAGGCTTTGATTGGCCCAAGAAAGAAAAAAAGAACTATCATTGCTGGAAATCAGAAAGACTAACAGAAATTGCTGGAAAACTCAGCAGGTCTGGCAGCATCTTTGGAGAGAAAGCAGAGTTGACATTATTGGTCCAGTGACCCTTCTTCAGAACTGATTGTAGCTAGGAAATCATTGCTGAAGGTGGGGTGAGTGAGGAGGGAGGAGTAAACAATAGGTGGATATGAAGACAGAGAAAGAGAACAACCTCTGGGCAGACTAAGGAATGAGTAAAGGTCAACCTTGGAGAACCAATAGCTAATAATTAAGAATATTAGTAGCTGACAATGGGATGGTTATGGCAGCAGGCCATGTGAGGGGTTAAGGGGTTAAGACATGGGAGAAGGTGCTTAGGCCCTAAAATAATTGAGTCCTAAAGGGTTCCCAAGTGAAAAATGCAATTCTGATAAGAAAGCTTGCACTGATCTTTGCTGGAGCACTGCAGCAAGCCTGAAAGAGAGATATTGCCCAGGGAACAAGGTGAGGTGGCAGGCAACAGGAAGCTCAGGGTTATTTTTGCAGACAGAATATGTTCCACAAAGCAGTCACCCAGTTTGTGTTTTGTCACCCCAGTGTAGAGGAGACTACACTATGAGCAGCGAATACAGTAGATTAAATTTAGTGAAGTACACTTAAATTGCTGCTTCACCTGGAAGATGTGTCTGGGGCCTTAGATAGTGAGGAAGGAGGAGGTAAAAAGGCAAATACAAGGGAAGGTGCCATGGGGACGTGTGGAGGTGTTGGGAGTGGAGGAGGAACAGACCAATGTGTCCTGGAAATAACAGTCCCTGTAGAAGGCTGACAAGGGAGGGGAAGGGAATATATGTCTGGTGCTGGCATTCGGATGGAGGTGATGGTAATGGCCATTAAAGATTCTTTGCTGATAGGGTGGGTAGCTATGGACACATCTTTGACCTGAAGAAAATGAGTGGAGTTGAAGGAGAAGTTGTTCAAAGTGAAGACAAGTTTGGCCAGGCAGAGGAGGGTCATGGAGGATGGGGATAGTTCAGGCGTTTTATCCAGGAAGAAGCAGAAAGCCGTGGGACCATCCTGATGGGAGATGAACTTGTAAAGCAACTGCACGTCCATGGTAACAAGGCACCAGCCCTCTAATTGGCCTTTTTACTTCATGAACACAGCCCCATCATTAATTAACCAGACAATTGTCTCTGGCACAATGAAGGGATGCCTTTGTGAAAATTCCGAAAAGTGGCTGGATCCATCCCACCTTTCCCAGAAATGAGTTTGAAAGATGCATATATTCAAAATTACTGTTGCCACTCCAAGACATCTCATGAATTCCTAAACTGAAGGAGAATGTTCATGTCATAGAGTCATATAGCATGGAAACAAACCCTTCAGTCCAACCAGTCCAATGCCGAACATAATCCCAAACTAAATTAGTCCCATCTGCCTGATATCCTGCCCATATCCTGCCAAACATTTCCTACTCATGTACTTATCTAAATGTCTTTTAAACAATATAATTGCACCCACATCCACCACTTCCAAAGGAAATTCATTACATATGTGAACTACCCTCTGTGTAAAACAAAATTGCCACTTATGTCTTTTTTTTAAATCCCTCTCTTCTCACCTTAAAATATGCCCATCGTCTTGAAATTCCCCATCCTAAGGAAAAGACTGTATCTGTACCTCTCATTATTTTATAAACTTCTATAAGGTCACCTCTCAACCCCTGTGCTCCAGTGGAAAATGTCCCAGACTATCCAGCTTTTCTTTATAACTCAAACCTTCCATGCCCGGCAACATCCAGGTAAATCTCTGCTGAACCCTCTTCTTCCTATAACTGAACAACCAGAATTGGACACAGTATTCCAGAAGAGACTTCACCAATGTCCTGTACAACCTCAGTATGACTTCCCAATTCCTATACTCAAAAGGACTGAGCAATGAAGGCAAGCATGCCAAACATCTTGTAGGTCCTTTATCAAAATGTTTCCCATAGAGGTACCACCTGAAATTTTAACTGCCTTTCTCTCATATGCTGGCTGATGTTCTGTGCATTCATATTATCCGCTCTGATTTTGACTTTCTGCATTTCCAATGTTTCCTTTTCTTTCTTCAAACTTGTCATTTTTTTTTTGCTAGGATTGGGAGTAGGAAACATGTTCTATATATTTTATGAGGACGGAATCAAGGTGATTCAACCAATAGAATGTCAGATTCAGCGACACATTAAACCTTCTGAGAAAATCCTAGGAAATCAGGTGAGTACATTTGTAGAAATGCAGTCATTTGAATTGATTTATTTATACAGCAATATCATTCATTGTCAAAATTAAAGCATTTCACCATTTCCTGTGGTGTGTCCTATCCCTGACTCCAGATATACTGCAAATGAATTTTCTTAGAGACAAAAAAAACTGCAGATGCTGGAATCCAAGGTAGACAAACAGGAGGCTAGAAAAACACAGCAGGCCAGGCAGCATCTGGAGGTAGGGAGCAGTCAACATTTCAGGTATTACCATCTTCAGGACTGGCCTGCTGTGTTCTTCCAGCCACAAAAACAAAGTTGCCGGAAAAGCTCAGCAGGTCTGGCAGCATCTGTTGAGGAGAAAACAGAGTTAACATTTCAGGTCCGGTGACCCTTCCTCAGAATTTCTTCCAGTTCTTCCAGCCTCCTGTTTGTCAAATGAATTTTCTCCTCTGCTAGCGATGGGCTAAAGTTTCTCCTTTATTGTCCTCAAAAACTCAACTCAGGACTGTAATAAACATCTTCAAAATAAACACTTTATACAGTCAAGCTCATCTTGTTTTGAGGGTGGCTTTGCTAGTATGATCCAATAGTTGTAAAGCATAAGAAATGGTTTCAGAGTATATTTTCCCTGTTCTTAATTCTTAGGCTTTCCTAGCCCTCAACCTTCATCCTTCCCATTCACTTCCCACTCACCTCCATCTTTACTCATATCCTCCCTTGCCTCTTTTGTGTACCATCATACTGTCCATATTTCATGTCCCTCCATACTCCTTTCATTACCCCCATGTTACTTTCATCCCTCTTCCATTAGGTTCATGTCTCCTCCATACCTACTCTCAAAGTGGACACCACGTGCAGAAGCATTGAGTCATTAACAAGTCTAAAATGCACCTGGAACTAACAAAATAAGTGAGCAGACTTTGAAAATTTTCTTTGGAAAATGAAAGCTGCTAATTCTGGTACTCTATAAAAGTGTCAACCTACTACAGCCATTCATAGTATCAGTAAATACACCTTTAATCCTGTTCAAACTTTTTTTTCTCATCCAAATAAACAAGCAGGCATTATAAACCACTTCAAAGACACTAATAACTTATTATGACTTCTTAAATCTGTTAATCAAGCACTGCCTTTCAAGTTTGGATACAAAGAATGGCTTCACATTCAAGCCATGTAAACAGATCTGCTAAACTGAGTCCATTAGCCATTCTTGGCCAAATATTTATAATAAGGAAAACAGATATCTGTTGATCTATTTACCAGATGGTTGCATTGTGCCAAGCTCCAACACTGATTAATGAATTTAGTTTTGAAGGCAATGACTTGATAATGACTTGCCACTGTTATAGCCCATTGGTTCTATACATAGAGGATGCTGGAATAGTTGGCATACAAGGGGCATTGCAGTAATTGAAGGGATATCAATGGGGCATAAGGATATGGATGGGATATGTACTGGAATTCAGCAGCCGTGAGGTTTCTGAGGGGACATTGGCAAGGCCTTTTAAACTTCCTTGTCCAAAGGTACCTGACTCCTCAGTAGGCTTCCCTCAGAGTTCCTAAACTTACCTGATTGGGTTTTACAGATTACTATATACCTCCCACTGTGATGAGATTAGTGTGGAGTATGAAATCAAATTTCTCCAAGGCCTTTGTAGTGTGATCCTGTCATCACAGGATATTTATGCAAAGTACTGGCCAGACACAGTTCCTGACTAGGGGAAGATGCCATGGTCGGAAATGGAGAGGTATATTTGAAACTCTGGTGCCGTAATTATTTTACCCATTTTCAACAGAATTCAAGGCAAGTGCTGAAAAGGAAATTCCACTTAATGGCCTCCATTATTGACACTAACCTTTTAATTTCCAGATAGTTTTTAAACTGATTTCAAGTTCTCAAACTGCCATGGTAGCATCTGAAATGAGCTTTCCTGAATTATCAATCCAGTAACATTACCATGAAGAAATATTATTAAATTGCATATTTTATAATACAGAGACTATTTTTTTAATCACTGTTTCAAACAGGTGTTTGATTATTTTGAATGTCACACAAATTTTTATTTAAAAAAAGTTTTTTTTGCTTTTTTTGACATTATTGATATATGTTGTAAGTGCATTCCTTTTTGAAATGTACAGGGCATCAAGTGGACTTGGTGAAATCATCCCACTTGACTGTCCTCTTGCATGCCCACTTGCCTATCCTCAGCATGCTGCAATGCTCCAGCGAATCACAACAAAAACTGGAGAAGCAACATCTCATCTTCAAACTAGAAATCTTTCAACCTTCTGGGCTCAGTATTGAGTTCAACACCTTCAAATTGTGAACGCATTCCTTCCTTTTTTTTAGTTTTACTTGTTACATTCTCTGTCACCCTTTTCCCCTCACCCCCACCACCCACCTCAGTGGGACTGTCTTTTTTTTCCAGTCTAGCAGTTAGACTCACCATTGTTCTGTAATTCTCACATTCCGATCACTTAATCTGAACTATTAACCTCCTCTCCCCCAGCACTCCAATGACCCCTCCACCCACTATTGTATATATGCTACCCCCTCCACACCAATTCAGCTGTGATGAAGAGTCATCTAGACTCGAAACATTAGCTTGCTTTCTCTCCATGGATGCTGCCTGACCTGCTGTGATCTCCAGAATTTTTTTGTTCTCAGTACAGATTCCAGCATCTGCAATAATTATTTTACTCATGTCAACTTTGATTTAAAACGAATGACAAATAGCCAATGTCCTTTTGGTTTTGGATCCTTTCCCCGTTGAACATAAGAACATAACATAAGAACGTAAGAACTAGGAGCAGCAGTAGGCCATCCGGCCCCTGGACCCTACCCCGCCATTCAATAAGATCATGGCTGATCTTTTTGAGACTCAGCTCCACTTACCTGACTGCACACCATAACCCTTAATTCCTTTACTGTTCAAAAATGTATCTAGCCTTACCTTAAATATATTCAGCAAGGTAGCTTCAACTGCTTCACTGGGCAGGGAATTCCACAGATTCACAACCCTTTGGGTGAAGAAGTTCCTCCTGACCTTAATCCTGCATCTGCTTCCTTTTATTTTGAGGCTATGCCCCCTAGTCCTAGTTTCACCTGCTAGTGGAAACAACCTCCCTGCCTCCACCTTATCTATTCCCTTCATAATCTTATGTGTTTCTATAAGATCTCCCCTCAGTCTTCTGAATTCCAATGAGTATAATCCCGGCCTACTCAGTCTCTCCTCATAATCCAACCCCCTCAACTCTGGAATCAACCGAGTGAATCTCCTCTGCACCCCCTCCAGTGCTAGTATATCCCTTCTCAAGTAAGGAGACTAAAACTGCACACAGTACTCCAGGTGTGGCCTCACCAGGACCCTATACAGCTGCAGCATAGCCTCCCTGTTTTTAAACTCCATCCCTCTAACAATGACAGACAAAATTCTATTTGCCTTTTTAATTACCTACTGCACCTGCAATCCTACTTTTAGCGATTCATGCACAAGGACACCCAAGTCCTTCTGCATAGCAGCGTGCTGCAATTTTTTACCATTTAAAACATAGTCCATTTTGCTGTTATTCCTACCAAAATGGATGGCCTCACACTTATCAACATTGTACTCCATCTGCCAGACCTTTGCCCACTCACTTAGACTATCTATATCCCTCTGCAGACTTTCAGTGTCTTCTGCACACTTTGCTCTACCACTCATCTTAGTGTCGTCTGCAAATTTTGATACACCACACTTAGTCTCCAACTCCAAATCATCTATCTAAATTGTAAACAATTGCGGTCCCAACACTGATCCCTCAGACGCACCACTAGCCACCGACCGCCAAGCAGAAAAACACCCATTTACCCCTACTGTTTGCTTTCTACTAGTCAACCAATCCTCTATCCATTTCAATACATTACCTGTAATACCGTGCAACTTTATCTTATGTAGCAGCCTTTGGTGTGGAATCTTGTCAAATGCCTTCTGGAAATCCAGATATGCCACATCCACAGGTTTCCCATTGTCCACCATGCAAGTAATCTCCTCAAAGAATTCCACCAAATGAGTTAAACATGACCTACCCTTCATGAATCCATGCTGGGTGGTTCCCAATGGGACAATTTATATCCAGATGTCTTGCTATTTCTTCCTTAATGATAGATTCAAGCGTTTTCCCCACTACCGAAGTTAAGCTAACTGGCCTATAGTTACCTGCTTTCTCTCTACTTCCTTTTTTAAACAGTGGCATCACATTAGCTGTTTTCCAATCTGCAGGAACCACCCTAGAGTCCAGTGAATTTTGGGAACAGTTTTTCTCTAAGTCAGGAAGTGGTAGGATGTGGTAATATCACTGAACTCGTAATCCAGAGGCCCCAGCGTAATGTTCTGGGGACGTTGGTTTAAATCCCACAATCATAGATGGTGAAATTTGAAGTCAATAACAATTTGGAGCTAAATGCTAGCCTAATAGCAATCATGTAGCTATAGTCAATTGTTGTAAAAATCCATTAGGTTCACTTATGTTCTTTAGGGAAAGAAATATGCCAGCTTTACCAAGTCTGGCTGACATGTGACTCCAGACCCAAAGCAAAACTCTCTTTTGAAACAGGTACTCAATTCAAGGGCAGTTAGGAACAGGCAAGAAATACCAATCTTTCCAGCAAAATCCACATCCCCTGCAAAAATAATAAAAGAAATGTCTATCACAATGTCTCTTGATTTTGTGTCTCTACGCCACACCTCCTCTCAATGTGCTCTGCTCTCAGAAGAATAGCTCCAACTTCTCTCATCTAAGCATACAACGGAATTCCCTCATGCCTAGAAACCAATCCCTCATTGCATTTCATTTTACTGAGTGAGGTCATTTGTCACCATAGAACATAGAACTGCACAGCACAGGAACATGCCCTTCAGCCCAAGATGTTGTGCCGAATATGACTCCAAATTAAAGAAACCCTTCTGCCTGTCCTTGGGCCATATCCCTCCATTCCTGAAATATTCATGTGCTTATTTAAAAGTCGCT